CGGGCCAAGGAGGCAGGGCCGGGACGCGCCGGCGGCGGAAGGATACGGACCGCCTCCACCTACGCACCGTCACCGTCGCCGTCGCCGTTGCCGACACCGCAGACGAGGGGATGACGCCGCGAAGCGCTAGGAGTAGATCTCGCGAGTGCTTAGGCGCGGGTTCTGGATGCTCCTGCGCCGCGACCCTTGAGACCCTTGCCTCTCTGGTACTCCACGCGTGTGTCATCGAAGATCAATAAACATTTAAAGGAGAATGTTCGTCATATCACTTGACCAGCCCCTTACCAATCCCGGGAGGAGGCACTTAGGCCTATTACAAAGTTTCTGAAGGAGAAAGGGACTCGTCCAAGGTCATACATCCCCTCAGTGACAGAACTAGAACTTTCCTGAAGTCGTGGGTCTTATCAGATCCCTTTCCGGAAGCCATGTGGTAACAGCCTGGGCACCAGCCAAGAATGAGGTTCCTCGAGCGTGCCACGGCCAGCCCTGCGAGATTGGCCTTCCCGACAAGGCCCCAGCTGGAAACAACTTGAAAGTTGTTCTCTCCTCGGCCACTGGCATGTCAGTCTTAGGAGAGATGCCAGACCACGCTCTGCTTGGTGAATTGTTTCAAACAAGCACTGTACCAATTACCTCAGAAAAAAGATTCACAGTGTGTGCTCCCGTGGTTAAAAACAACCTTGTACTCAGATCACGATCAGGAGTGCCCACTGATAAGCCAACCTAGAATAAGTGGACATGTTTTTTAGGAGGTGGAGGCAAAAAGCTAGTACGCTGATCACCCATTCTCTGCTATACCAGGACCAGAATGAGATACAATGCCAGACCTGGGCTGGGAGGTGCTTTTTATCTGGCTGGAGACACTTACACAAAAGAATAGTAAGGAATGTTTTCCTGGGAGGTGATGTCTACATTTGCAAATCCACCACTGGGGTTTTCTGATTTTAAGTCTATTTTCTGTCCTCTGCATATGGAAAGGACCTTGCAGATCATTGATTCTAACTCCTGAATTTAGAGAAGGAAAAAAATGGAGCCCAACAAAAGGAAAGATCTTCCCTTAGTCATACAGTAGGTGAGTGGCAAAGCTCATACTGCCTCACCTACTGAGTAGAGAAGCTTGGACCATTAGAGCAGGGCAGCCTGGACACAGTGATGGGAAACTGTATCCAGTCGTCCAGGGTGGGTATGTTTGAAGTTAGGGGTGAAGAGGAACTTTCCACAGCCCCAGATCTTTTCTTTCTAAGATATGTGATGGGAAATTCAGGGGATATAGGAGCATGTTAAACAGCACAGAGAAGCAATTAGACAATCCAGAATATGGGATGGTTTATAAGACAACTGCCAACATCTCTTAAAGGTCAATGCTGTCAAAACAAAACAAAAGCAATAGGGAAGAGGGTCTAGATTTAAAGAGACCTGAGAGTCTAACAACCACATTGTAAGATGTGATTCTTGATTGTATCTTGGCTTATTAGAGAATGGGGGAAACTTAACTATGAACTTGGTATCAGATGATATAGGGAAATTATTGTTAATTTAATTATTTGTTAATTTTGTGAGATGTAGTGTTGTGTTGTGGTTATGGAGGAGAATGCATTTATTGGAAATGCATGCTGAAGGGTTTTAGGGCTGAAGTGTTAGAAAATCGTAATTAACTTTAAAAATGTTTTAACCTCAAATGTCATATATAGTTAGATGAAGTAAATATGGTAAAATGTTATAATTGTTGAAGTTATGCGATTGATGTGTAGGCATTCAGTTTACTATTTCTACTTTTCTGATGTTTCAACATATTCATAATAAAGTGGGGTTTTTGTTTTTGTTTTGTGGCTGGCTGATACAGGGATCAAACCCTGGACCTTGGTGTTATCAGCACTACGCTCTAACCAACTGCACTAACTGGACAGCCCGTTTTCGTAATATAAAGTTGTGTGTATGTGTGTGTGTGTGTGTGTGTGTGTGTGTGTGTGTGTGTGTGTGTGTGTGTGTGTGTGTGTGTGTGTGTGTGTGTGTGTGTGTGTGTGTGTGTGTGTGTGTGTGTGTGTGTGTGTGTGTGTGTGTGTGTGTGTGTGTTTTAATGCTCCTTCAAAAAGAAAAAAATGTGATGGGAGAGGTACACAAATGCCCACTGGTCAAATTTCAAAATGTTCTCAATAATAACTTTTTTGTATTAGAAAAGCAATATATATTTCTTGCAAGAAATACAGGTAAGCAAAAGGAAGGAAATAAAAGTCACCCATATTCTCTCATGGTTAATATCCTTCCAGTCTTTTCCCCTTGCATATAAATACATATTTTGCTTTCTTGCATCACGTGTCCGGAGAGTCCAGTGTCACATGAGGCTCAGGTGGTGGCAGAGCTGCAGCAAAAGAGAATCAAAATTTAAGGAAACACGTGTTATCATCCCAGAAGAGTTTGTGGCAGCTGGAGATCACTTAGTCCATCACTGCCCAACATGGCAATGGGCATCATTTCTTATGTACCAAGAAAGGTCAAAATATCAGGGCTACAGGGGAAGAATTTAAAGTGAAGACATACCTACCAACAGGTAAAAAATTTTTGGTAACCAAAAATGTGCTGTGCTACAAGCAGTCTAAACAGATGGAATATTTAGATGAACTGGAAGCTATCATTGAAGAAGATGATGGTAATGGGGGATGGGTGGATACATATCACAACACAGGTACTGCAGTTAAGGAGATTACACTGGAAAGCAAGGATAGTATAAAACGCCAAGATTGCTCAGCACTGTATGAAGAGGAAGAAGAGGAAGATGAAGGAGAAGCTGCAGATATGGAAGAATATGAAGAGAGTGGATTGTTGGAAACAGATGAGGCTACCCTAGACACAAGGAAAATAGTAGAAGTTTGTAAAGCTAAAACTGATGCTGGAGGTGAAGATGCTATTTTGCAAACCAGAACTAATGACCTTTACATCACTTATGATAAATATTATCAGATGCCATGATTATGGTTGTTTGGCTATGATGAGCAAAGGCAGCCTTTAACAGTTGAGCACATGTATGAAGACATCAGTCAAGATCATGTGAAGAAAACAGTGACCATTGAAAATCACCCTCATCTCCCACTACCTCCTATGTGTTCAGTTCACCCATGCAGGCATGATAAGGTGATGAAGAAAATTATTGAGACTGTTGCAGAAGGAGGGGGAGAACTTGGTGTTCATATGTATCTTCTAATTTTCTTGAATTTTGTACAAACTGTCATTCCAACAATAGAATATGACTACACAAGATACTTCACAATGTAATGAAGAGAACATAGAGTCTATCCTAATTATTGGTTCTGATTTTTAAAGAATTAACCCATAGATGCGACCATTGACCATATTCACCAATATGTATAATTTCTCTAATAAAGGGATTTATGTGTTTATGCATTAAATAAAAAAAAGTTCCACTGACAACCTTATTTGTTTAATAAAAAAATAAATACGTACATTTTTTTTAAATTTGGGTCATTCCATAGTACTATTTGGTAATCTGCTTTTAAAATAAATAATACAACATGAATTTTCCTGCATCAATAAACATTTCTACCTTATTTTAATGGCTACATATTCTATCATATAAATGTACCATATTTGTTTAACTGGTCTCATTTTGGGAGACATTTATTTCCAATTTTTACTATTAAAAATAATGCTGTGATGGATATCCTGTAATCTTTATATAAAAGTGCTTCTTCACTTCTTCTGGATAAACTCCTAGAAACCAAATTGTGCATCAAAAGATATGCAGATTTTTGCATCTATATTCACGAGGGGTATTGGTTTATACTTTTCTTCTAATATCTTTATTAAGATTTCATATCAAGGTGATGCTAGACTCATAAAATAAATTGGGAGATGTTCCCTCTTCTGTTCTGAAAAGGCTGCTTTTTTTTTCTTCCTTAAATATTTGGTAGATTTCACCACTGAAGCAATCTTGCCTGGATTTTTCTATGGGTAAAGAGTTTGATAATAAATCTAATTTATTATTTTTTCTAATTTCTTTAATAAGTATTGGACTACTTAGATGTTTTTTTTCTTTTGTCAATTGTGATCAGTTGTGTTTTTCAAGGAATTTGTCCATTTCATGTAAGTTTTCCAATTTATTAGAATCAAATTACTCATATCACCTTATTTTTCCTTTTATTATCTGTAGTATCTATAGTGGTGTCCCTTTTTGTATTCCTAATGTTGGTAATGTGTGTTTTCTCAATTTTTTTCTTGATAAATATAGCAAGAAGTTTATTGATTTAATTAATTATTCCAATGAATCAACTTTAGTCCTTATTTTCTCTATTGTTCAATCCATTTTCTATTTTATTGATTTCTGCTCTTATTTTTATTATTTTCTTTCTACTTACTTTGAGTTTAACTTGTTCTTTTTCTAACTCTTGAAGTAGGAGCTTATATCACCGATTTTACACTTCTTTTTTCTCAGGTAATTTTTTCTTTTTTTTGGTGGCTGGCCAGT